AATTGGCAGTACTAACAATTAACACCTTAAAATACTGTCAGTTCCTGCTGATGGAAAGCAGACATCCCCTGTGCTGTGGGTGTAAGGGTTTTGTTACCGGGTAGCTCCACCTCTCTTTAATCTGGGCAGTTCTTGCTCTGACTCAGATAAGGACATCATGGAATATACCTTTCACATATTGAAAGTAAGTAGTTTAAGTGCTCCAATGCTACTTTTTAACTATATTCCAGAAATAATAGTAATTATTGCACACAATTTGTGTTGCAATAGCCCACAGAGACCTTTGCCCAGGCTGGTCACAGCTGGGCTTTGTGCAGAATGTGCAGAATGTACTCATGGTGACCAATAGCTCCTGCTTGAGAGAGGTACCAGCCAGGAGGAGAGAAACCTGGAGACCTGTGTCACTGTGTCTTTGTGTCATTGGCCAGTTAATTATCTGAGGCTCTGTCTTCACAGAGGTTGTTGGTATGTCACTATCACAGTCTTTTAGATCCGAAAAATACCCTTTTCTCCCCTCTCCTGGTGAGTTTCTGCATCTGACCTCTTGGATTTTTCTGTTTCCTGCCACAGAATGGCCATTGTCCTGGGCAATGTTGCAAATCCCTTTCACAGCACCTAATTCATGCCATTTTATAATCCATCCCCTAATCTCTCCTGTGGTTATTCCTTCAAATCAGAAAGGGATATCCTCACTCCTGAAGTGCAAGACTTGCTGGGACCACACCACATGTGGTCTCCCAGGAGCAGTGAACATTGTTCCAGGCTCCTGCCAGGGTTTTGAAACCTTTCCTTAAAGACTTATTTCAAATCTTATTTCGACTTTGAAGATGCTTTTAAGGCACAAAAATTATTGAATAAAATTTTAAATAAGCAAAACCTGATTATGTTCTATAAATATTAATCTCAGAGTGTAATTGCTCTACTACTCTATTATATTACAATAAACCTGCTGGTGTTGCAGTATTTTAAATAAGTGTTAGATCCTTTAGTTTGTTCTAACACTCTTTGTGGCAACAATATTCAGTCTGAAACAAGATTGCAATTTGCTGATTAAAGCAGTATCACCTCATCAAGTGAGATTGTGTTCATTCTTTTTATTTTATTTTTTTTCTTTTTATTTACTCTTACTAAATATTTCATTTTTGGAACATTTTATGACTTTTCTACTCTTGCTGTTTAATTGCCATTAATAAAATATTCCTAACCTCATTCACCCAGAAGGTGTTGCATATCCAAGACACATGATCAAGGTTCGATTTGGAAGTGGCACCTCTGAAAAATTACCCAGGGCTGCAGCAGGCCTTCAGAATGTAATCTGTTAGTACGAGTTCAGATACAGTAATGTTTCATATTTGTTTTACTGGCTGTTTATGGGACTAATTGGAAGACTTTGGAAGGGGAGCTGAGAGAACTGGATTATGTTTAGAGCTATTTCTGCATCAGAATGATCTGGAACAGCATATTGGAACTCATATTTGGTAAAAATACCATGGTATCATTCAATTGACAGAGGGCATCTGGCTTTTCTCTCTATTCATGGAGGAGGAGCTGTATGTGAGACATGAAAAGAAGGCAAATTGAACAGAATGAATAAGGCCACAGCAGTTTTTGCTGGAGCAAAATAGTTGAATCGAAGCTGATATTTGCTTTCTTCAGTCCAAATGAAGCAGTGGGGGAATCCATGCCAAGAGATGTGTTTCCCATCACATCTCATTCAGTTTAGCATCTTATTAGTTGCAGTCAAATATTTTCATAACTGGCGACTCTGCTCTTAATGATCTATTCTTCATAGAATATGAGAATATGAGAAATGAACCTGCTCATAAAATGAAAGTGAGTTTTTACTTTTAAATAGGTGCTCTTATAAACATTCATGCACCATTCTTTGCCCTGTGGCCTGTGCTATTTTTCAGTCCCCACAGCTAAACCTTTCCTGAAAGTTAAAGACGCTATTTGGAAAAGATAAGTGGAACTGGTCTTGTGGAAGTGACTCAGAATGAGTTGGCCTCTGGCATGGTGGAGTACCTGAGGCTTTTGATCTGTCCTTTTGGTGGTGCTTCTCATTATCTTTCCCATTTCTCTTCGTATTTGCCATGCTATATATATATACCTACTTTTATCATCAAATTGAAATTGCTCTGAGTACTGTAGAGCACTTCCCTCAAAAACATCGTGTAGCTTGTACACATCTTTAACAAGTGATGACTGCATGTCCACTTTTGTGTGCACAGCCTCACCGGAGGAACTTGCCTTCAAGGTGGAGTTTGACCCAGATGTGAGGGCAAGCGCAACCCAAACCAGTGCCAGGTAAACACCCAAGTCATGTGCATAAGACTGAAAGATGTTATCACTGTGTTCACCTGTCAAATTTCTGAGTTTCGAATGTCTTGGATAGAATGTCTTTATAGGCCTTTGCAGAACAGACACCTGGTCAGGAGGCACAGCGTTGTTTATGGGTGTGGGTTAGTATGTGGCACACACCGATCAGCACAAACGTTTGTTCAAGCAAAGTGAGAGTTGCACAAATGCTCACAGGATGTGAAAATACTGTGGGTGGGCTAAGGGATGTAGAATCATAGAATAATTTAGGTTGGAAAAAGCCTCTAAGGCCATCGAGTCCAACCATTAACCTAATGCTGCCAGGTTCACCACTGAATCGTGTTTCCAAATACCCCATCTACACATCTTTTTGAGCACTTCCAGGGATTATGATTCCAGCACTTCTCAGGGCAGTCTGTTCCAGTGATTGACTGCCTTTCAGTGAGGAAATTTTTCCCAAAGTCCAGTCTAAACCTCCCCTGGCACAACTTGAGGCCAGACTTGTGCTCTGAACCCTTCCCCTGCTCCGTTGCCCTTCCCTAGACACGTTCCAGCCCCTCAACGTCTTTCTTGTCATGAGGAGCCTAAAACTGAACCCAGGATTCAAGGTGTGGCCTCACCAGTGCCCAGTACAGAGGGACAGTCACTGTGCTGGTCCTGCTCGTCACAGTATTGCTGATACAAAGATCATAGCCAATGTATTTACTTTCCTTCTTTAAGGGCTTGCTAATATCCCTGTATCAAAATTTATTATTCTTTCATTATGGACTAGTTTAAATATACCTTTAGTAAGCTTGAAAACGCTAGATTCTTATTTGGGGTATAGTCTGTGTTGAAAACATGGGTATGAGTGGAGAACAGAACAGCAACACACAGCACAATTGTAGATTAACAACACGTGGTGATCTGGCTGTAACTGTGCCAGGCCCAGTGTCATTGTCTCCAGTGATACACTCCTTTTAATGGTGTTTAATCAACCAAAATATTTTAACTGTGAAATCTTTAAAATAAGAGAACTGAAAATATCTCACCTGTTACTTTTCACTGGCTTTCCAGCACATTGCTCTTAAAACCAGGTAACTCTAGCTCTCTGATGGCAACCTGCTGGTGATGTGGGAAGACATCAGGGTCAGTTATGCTTTAAAAATCTTTATAGTCAATGTAAAAAGTGGGTGCAACTGTAGTATCACACATTTATATTACATAGCACTTAGTAAATGAATGCATCTGAAAGCAGTTCTTCAGGTCTTTTGCTCGGGTACATCTAAGTGTCAACTGGGGGTGAATATCCATTTTCTTTTAAGAGCAGTTTGTCATTTTCTCTTGGAATGAAAGATTTTCCCAAATTCAAGCACATTTCCTTCCTGCAGTTAAAAGCTGAGGGAACAGAACTGTATTTTTCAACTCATAAATCCTCTAAAAAGGAAATCTCATTAGTGTAATGAATACACTGAATGGTTGTTTGTTATAGACAATTAACCTCCATTAATTGGAGTGGTGTGCTCACAGAAGTGGGATTGTTTATTTGACAGAATGAGTTTTTTTTTTTTTTTGCTGGGCAGAAGAAGACGTTTCAGATAACTTGCCAAGATAACTTCATCTCTGGCTGATGACACTGAGTTACTGAGGGTAGTGCAAATGAAAGCTGTCTGCAGAGTGGCAGAAGTGCTTTGTGACACTGAATGACCATGTAGTGGAACAGCAGGTGAAATTCGGTGCTGATGGGTAGAAAGAAGGGTAAATGGAGGTTTTCTCCAAGCTTCACAAGCAAAACAACACAGCCTGGCCTAACTCTTACTGCTCAGGAAAGAGCTTGGGCTGTAACTGGCAGTTTAATGAAAACAACAGTGTTCAGCAGCAGCCAAGAGGTAAAAAAGAATAGAGTCTGCCTGGAACTGCTGGCAGAGGAGCATAGAACAAAATAGAGTTTGCTCTTCTGCTGCAGTGTAAATCCTCAGCTTGGCTCTCTGTGGAACACCAACCATCCCTGTGCTCTCCATAGCTCAGAAAGCACCTCTGTTCCCTGGCTGCTTGGTGAGACTCAGAGGTGTCCAGATTTTGGGGTGTTGGCCAGGACCAGCATTGGCTGTGTGTGTAGGACTGTGCCCAGATCCGTGTGCAGGCTGACTTGCTGCCTGTGCTTTCACTGACCCCTTCCTTCCTTGCCCATTGTACTTGGTGCTCACAGTCCCAGCTATTTGCATTTACCCAGGCATGCCCATGAAATGCAAATCAGATGCAAATCAACATAGGTAGCCCTACATGAGCCTGAGGATCGAGATCCGGCAGCGGGGCAATTCCCAGAGCCAGGGACCAGCAGGGGCAATTCCCAGAGCCAGGGATCAGCAGGGGTAATTCCCAGAGATGGGGACCAGGCACTGCTCCCTGCCATGAGAAGCATAGACCTTGAAGAGGCTGAGGGGTGTTCAAAGCCCACTCCTGCCAGCGTGCAGTGTCACCACCAAAGATTTGCCCGTATTTGGGAGGTATTTTGGAGGGTTTTGGGATGTTAACATTCAGAGATAAGGGGGAAGCAGGCTGCTATGGTTCCACTGAGAGGAGTGTCAGGGAGATGTCTAATCTTACAATCCACTTATGTCCTTGGGAAAAAAATGTTACCATTCTGTCTCCCTGTGTTTAATTTAGTGGCCTTCAGGGACAATTGCTCAGTCATAGAAAGATGAGCTTCAGAGTCTGGAGCCCTGATAACACAAGCTTTCCTGCTTTTGCAAGCACTGACATATTTGCAATGGAATGGAAAAGGTACTAATTAATATATTTTATATTGATGTTACATTTTCTTCTGCTGTTGAATCATTTTACTATCAGCTATATGATTTTATTGGTAGGTCTACATAGTTACTTTTTCTGATGTTAGTTTTTCCTTGTTTGTGAGATGGAATTGATGCTGCTATTAGGGATCTCTGTTGCTTGCTATCATCACAAATGTAAGGAAGGCATTATTATCTTTATAAAACTTGCATTAGCATTTACTGTTGTGGTTATTTCTTAGCCATTCTGTATCTATGTGGCTGCCTGTTGTGAAGCTGAGAAAATGTTAATGGAAAATGTTCCAGTTCTGAAGTGCTGCAATCAATATGCAATGCTTCTTACATGTTAACCTTTAACATATGGATTTAATATCACATCTGATTTACACCTAATAAAACAGGACTATGCCTCCAGAGCTATTATTTTTTCTTTTTTTTTTTTTCTTTCTGTTTTTTTTTTTTTTTTTTTTTTTTATTAATTTAAAATGGAACATTTTCTGCTTCAAATATTACTGTGTGCCACATTTTGGTCAAGGAACCANCTGTTGTGAAGCTGAGAAAATGTTAATGGAAAATGTTCCAGTTCTGAAGTGCTGCAATCAATATGCAATGCTTCTTACATGTTAACCTTTAACATTCTGAGTATGTACTTACTGAGAATTACCTCTTTTTAAATGCTATAACAAATTCAGAGCTATTTTTTTTTTTTTTTCTTTCTGTCTTTCTTTTTTTTTTTTTTTTTTATTAATTTAAAATGGAACATTTTCTGCTTCAAATATTACTGTGTGCCACATTTTGGTCAAGGAACCATCCTATGGCCTCACCCAGCTCCCCTTACCTAACTAATATGATTTCAGCAAAAACTTCCTGACTTCAGCTATCTCCCAACCATGGGCAAAGCTGGATCTCTTGTTCCAAACTCTATTTCAGTTCTGATTGTTTAAAACTGAGGAAAAATAAACTGCATAAGCAGAAGTACTCTGGATTTACTGGAGCAACCACCGTGAACATTTGCCACATCATCTCTAGAGTTCTCTGTAACATTTTAACCAAACTCTTACACATTTCTGGCTGTGATCATAAGGTTTAGTTTGCAACATTGACAGCCAGAAGTGGGCATCCTGCTCTCCTGATTTGTAAGCCAGTTCAACCCTGCTGATTTCAGTGGGATCGCACAGGAGGTGATTCCAGGGCAGTTCTGACCATCTGGCCTTACTGCTAGTCTGCTCATCTCAACCAGCGCACCCTATTTCACACCACGGGTCTTTTTTAGCAGATATTTTGTGGTTTTCCTCTTCAGTGTTTTAATTGTGTGTCTTTAGTGTTTCAGTGTCTCTTTAGTGTTTCAGTGTCCTCTTTAGTGTTTTAATAGCATCTCCTTAAGTTATAATATGTCATATCTTGACTGCACTAAAAAGATATGTATTGACTTTCTTCCATTTAATTAATAAACAGTTAACTCCAAGCCACCTGTGCTCTGGTAGCAGTGAAAGGGCACTTGAAAATGGTGACAACAGGTACATCACAAGATATTCCTCACTGATATACCAGGGCCCTATTGCCCAGGTGGAGGATAGTCCTAGCAAAGCACATCCCACGAGTCCAGGATACCTGCATTTTTTCAGAAAGTGTTTTCCCACGTACAAATCCACGTCTATAAACGTGGCACCCACAAAGAAGCAGCTCCCTGCCCTCTCCAGATGTTGATCTCAAACACTGTGCCCGTGCCACGTGTAGACAGAAATTCTAGAAGCAAATGAGAAGGCTGGTTGGCAACCTGGTGTTACCACAGTTTTTTGTCAAGCCACAGAACTGAGGCACAGTGAGTGTGTGTGGGGGGCTATAGCAGGATGAGGGCCTTGCTGAGGTGCTCCTGCAGAAGTGGAGCAGGGCAAAACCATCACATTTAGTGTGCATGTACTCCGAGAGGTCGGTCCCCACCAGCTCCAGCCTCCCAGCTGTACTCAGATTTCCCTGTCTAGAGGACTAATTTGCCCCATAGCAAAGACTAGATGAAAAGAATTACATGTACGTGTTGTGGGCAACCAGGATTTCAGGACCATAGTTGAAAATGGAGAGTGCTCCACCTGGACAGCATGGATATCTCAGTGACTTCTGTCTGAGCACCTTGTGCATCCTGGCAGAATTCTCCTGCCCAAGATCAGGCAGCACCCAGCAAAGCACTTGGAACAAAATTTGTCTTGCATACGCCGCACGTGGACTTCCCTGCCGGTCTGCTCGAGGTGGGAATCTCCAGGGATTTTACCTGCTGTTTTGAGGGCAATGAAATCCTGCCTCAGGAGCTCCACAGGTTTTGTGGGCTTTGACTTACATTATTCCCATTCATTCATCCTCTTCACCTGCTTTCAGAATGGTACTATTTATGATTTTCTCCCCTGCAGGGCCTTACACCCCTCTACAGAGGTAAGCAACAAGAAGTAGCTTAATTCCTAACACACTCGTGTATTCTCTTTTCTTTCAGTTTCCTCTGAGCTCTGTATCACACCTGACCACTCACTCTGTTAGGAGTCTGAAAACACAGTCAAGTCTTAGAAAGTACCAATTATTTTAGTTGTGCCACTGAATAATAAACTGGAAAGCAAGATGCCTGAAGTGCTTCAAAGGCCCAGTGAAGGTCTGTAGAGATGCCTGTGTTATTTTAGGAATAAATATGTGCAGCCTAAGTAATGTATAACTACTGCATTTAAAGATCTATGGCATGATGAGAACACAGGGTGCTTCTGGTGACAGGAGTTTGAGAGCATCCTTGGCAGAGAAATAAAGTGACTAACTACAAAGCACATAGATACTTCCATGATGGGAGATGATAATCAGTCAGAGAAGCACTTAAAGATGGATAAGGGATTGGATAAACATAGGTGGAGAGAAGCTGTAGGACTGAGGTGCTGGGCAGAGAAGGACCTTTCCTGTACAATGCAAGATCTCAAACCCCATGGAGTCTGCCCTTGGCAGGGAAACCTGAGGTAAGGCCCTGTTTGAGCTGGGCAGCAGGGCAAGGTGAAGGGCACATTGATCCTGCATGAGAGGGGTTAGAAACAGGCTTGGAGCTGCCCACCAGGGTGAGCAGATACCCCAGGGATACCTGCAATCTCAGTGGTACTTTAGGCGGTGGGGACAGAGGGGAAGGAAGCTTTGGGAAGTTGGATGTGGCTCTGCTGGGTGGTCCAGGATGTGCAGTACCAGCACTTGCTGAGCCTGCACAGTGTACAGCTGTGTGCTGCTTTCTTTAAGGAGTTTTTAATTCCTCCCTGAATATGCAGTATCTGGAAGGGCTGCAGGTTAAATCAGTCCTTGCTTGACAACCAGGAGTGGCTCATGGCATTCTCCAAGACCAATAAATCCTCTGACAGACCTGTCTCAAGTGCATGGAATGTTGCTGTGACCCTGGGGTCTCTGATGCCAAGGGTGGACCCAGCATGGGAGAAGAAATAGGTTTGTGGCCATACCTTGTGTCGCTTGTTCCCCCAAAACTTCCCAGACAGGCAGTGAGGACCAAGCTGCACTCTGAAACCAGAGAGGCTGGTGTCACATGAGACATAGTCATATTATTTAAGCGAGTGTTAGTGGAGCCTGAGATCCCGATTATGCAGTTTCAGTGATGAGTTAATTCTTTATGGCTGGAGGTGAAGACGAGGAAAAGGTACAGGAGTCCAGACAAGCACCACACAGCCTTTGTGGAGAGAGGCAGGAGCTGTTTCAGAGCGATAAACAGCTGCACACTGTGCTGGCGTTAATGCAGCCGCCGAGAGAGTTTCTCCTGTGTTAATCTATGAATTTCATAGCCCAACACTCCATTACTTATTTATAGATTTATAGCTCTTCCCCCTCCCTCTCCCCCCAAGCATCTGGCTGCTGTATATGAAACACACAGTCGCAATTACAAAATGTCTTCTGAAAAAGTATCCCCACCCCTGTCACCCGTTGTGGGTAGCAAGTAGTCATGCACCAGGCAAGGTACTTGGCTGGGTACCTGCAGGCTCAGGAGAACCTGCTGAGCACCCAAGGTTGGATCAGTGCCATCCAGGGCCCACCCCACACTCTGCCTCAGCTTGTACCAGAGCTGGGACCAGTTGCCGTGCCAGGGCACATGATGGGACCCATGGGCGGGGATGATTTCCCCTGGCAGCAGTAACAGAGATCTCTGTTGCACCTCAGAGGGATGTAGGTGGCTTTGGTCCTTCCTACTGCTCATGTCAGAAAAAGAATTGGATGAGTTAATATATTTTGGGTCTGCTGCATCATTTTTCTCCTGCGTGCAGTTTTTTTGTTGCTCGTTGGAGCAATAATCCTACATGTGGCAATTTGCTCCTCACGGGGACTGTGCTTTGGGCTGCCTCCGGGCTGGGGCGGCATCACGGCATGTGCTGTGCAGGGGTGTCTATGAAATGATGTTGTGCATGTATTTTTATAGTTTTTAAGTTTTGCTGTGAGATGGGTACGAGCTGTGTTTTTCATTGACTGCAGGAACTGGGACCTTCTCTGCAGCCCTGCAAGGGGAAAGGCAGCTCCAGGACCGTGGCCCATGTGTGGAGTTTATCTGGCCATTGGCATCTCCAGATGCATGTAAGTCCAAGGACTTTATAGTAACTGCTGTGAGAGATTCAATGAGAAAAGCAATCTTTTGAAGATAAATGTGTTACATATGCAGTAGGGGTTTAGAGGGTAACTGGTACCTCCAGGAACAGCCAGAAGCAAGCAGCTATGAGGCAGTGCAGTGCCTGCTTCTGTGCACCACAGTAGGTCACACACGTTACGCTTTCTGCCAGGCAAGATTTCTCTATGCGTTTTCAAAGATAGCTTCAAGAAAACGTGTTTTACAGCAGTCAAGTTGTGGAGCTAAAAATGCAAAGAATAAAAACTGCACAGTCACTGGCAGAGGTCAGCATTCAGTACCTGTTAGCACATTGTGCTCTCTAATGTGTCTCTATTATTTCTGCAGCGTGTGCTGTGCTGGAGTGCAAAGATCTTGGTTATGGCAGCTCCTTTCCTTGCAGTGTTGATGAAGGGTTCAAGGCCCTGACATCCAGCTGCTACCTGGTTCCTCAGTGTGAGTGCAGAGGCTTTAGGAGCAGCTGTCTCATAGTATTTTATTTTACCTTGCAAGTGCTTCAGTCGAGATGTGTTATCCTGCAAAGCTCTTTGTCACTTTAGCACTTCTGCTTCATCTCCACTTGTGTTCTTGTTGCATATAATTGTTGGGTCTGAGTGTTACTGCTGGTGTCTTTGTGTTTTTCTAAAGCTGAAGGATAGCACTTAGGTCTGTAGATACATACTTTTTCCTTTTACTCCAATATATTTTTAATGATTAGTTTTAAAAGATATCACACTTGTCTGAAAGATTATTGCAAAACTATTCTGATGCTGCTGATGAAATTGCTGCAGAATATTCTTCTATGACTGCGTCAGTACTTCATATTATTTTAAAAGAATCATGTTCTATATAAGTGAATTTGATTTTCTGTTGCCCATTACTTCACAAGTATTTTCATGTAATGGTTTCACTTACAGAATAATTAAAAGAATATTTAAAAAATAATCCTGTTAGTAGTCCAGGCAGGTTTGCAAGTCTTAGTAGGAAGTTTAATGGCAAGAGCTGAGTCAAATCTAAAAATCCTCATTTAGCAGCTTTAATGCTACTCTAAAAGGAACTGCACAGATACAGAGCTCTCTACACCTGTCAAAACTTCTATCGTAGTCATCATTTTATTTATTTTACTGCATTATTCAAGTCCTTTGAATTCAAGTCTTCTGCACAGGAGGGGTGTATCTCATCACGCCGTGAACTGAGTAGGTGAGATACACTCATTTTCCTCTTAGGAGGTGTTTCAGAAGGAGAAATAATCAGTGGAGGAAGAGAATAATTTCCTAAGTTTTGATGCTTTTGTTACATGACTGTCATCTTTCAAATTCAAGAGTTCCATCTAGAGGAATCCTATTTCATGAGCTCTGTTTTGCTGGCCTTTTAATGTGTGCCATATTCTCTCTGAAAATAGATTAATTCAGTCTCCTTTCTCAGTTTTCTGTGTTGAATACCTATGAATTTCATTGTTTCTTCCTGGCAGTTTTTGAAACAACTCTTTAACATCAGTATTCTCTGCTTACATTTGAAGTATCATTTCTGTGTTTCTGTTTATTGTGCTGAAGAGAGAGAGAAATTTTGCTCATGTCTGACTGCCACTTATGAATTTGTAGCCCAGAAAGTTACAAGAATCAGATTTTCCCATCAACAGCAATAAAATATATACCTGAGTAAAAAAAAAAAATTTAGAGTAACTTAGCAGACTCTGGCAGCTCTGAAACCATTTAATAATATAGAAAGTGTTGAATGCAGGAAAACCCACTGAGAACTAATATTTCTGCAAATAGATATAAATCTCGGTGCAGTTTGTTTAAGGAGTCACTGTTTCCAAGTCTTTTTTTCTTAACCTGTAGAGAAATCTGGGGAAAAAAAAATCCAGCTGAAATGCCAACAGAAGCAATTTTGCTATTATCTTTTGGGTTTAGGAGTTAAATTCCTGTTGATCTTTTATCTAATAAACCTTTTTAGACCCTTGTGCGGCTCAGATACTGCAGTTTATCTTTTCTAATATTCTTCGTTTGTCAAACAGAGATTAAACACCTTAGTAATGTTCAATAATGAAGTCTCATATCTAGAACTGTACTAGGATGATTGTTGTATTCAGATATGTGGAATTTGTCTAGGACAGAAAGCAGTCAGGGAGAAAGGTTTTAACTCTCAAAATCAGGTTATCAAAAGGGTAACATGGTGCAACAGATGGAAATGAGCTGAAGAAACCCCAGTGTTTATGCTGTGAAACTTGAACTTTGCTATTGTAGCTTAACTTGATTAAAACAAAGCAAAATATATCAAAACAAAAACACTGGAAACTTTCTTGTAGCTCAACTTTCCCAAGCAAAATTAGCATGTAGCAGCATTCCTATGCTGTATGATATTTATTGGTGTAGCCTTCATGTTCTAGTCACTCTTTGAAGAAAACCCTTTGATGTGTCCTTGAAAAGTAGCTACGGCAGAGGTGTGGGGTGTGGGGGTGCTGTGCCAGAAATCTGAGGGCAGGGCAGCAGGGCTGAGGTTGTAAAACAGGGTACCCAGGCTGTGCCCGTGTGGATCAGTGAAAGAAAACCAAGGGGACACCGCAGCTGAGTTCCATAGAATAGCCTGAATATATAATGCCAAGAACTAGTCCCTTGGCAGCAGATCTGTGTTGGAAATATTTGATTGGAACAGCCCAAAACAGAACTTGCAAGGCAATGACCTAAGAGTTAGGTGATATGAATGATCAGAATGCCAGTGATTGCACTGGACCCCTGGGTATCTTTTACTTAGAAATAAAGATTTCCCATTTCTGACATGGTTCACATTAAAAACATAAGCACCTTTGAACATATAAAGAACACGAATTCAGCTGAGCACAGCAGATAAAGAGTTTTTTCCCCACTTAGTTATGTGCTTTTTTCTTTCAAGCTCAAGGTACCATGAATAAATTCTTACCTAATTACTTAATTTTACCCAATTAATTAGAAACCAGATTTTATTTTTGATTTTCAACCTGAGGCTTATTTCAATTTAGATTATATATTTACAAAAAAAATAGAGAGTCTTTACAGTTGTGTTTAGTTTCTTTTTCTGCCAACATTTTCTGAAATTTTTAGATGTCACTAAGAAGACAAATTAAAGTCAATTTCATAACCTCAGGCTTAAATTTGTTTGCACTTTTAATGAAGTCACATTGTGATATGCAATCACAAGTTATTTTATCTAATCTGACACCTGCTACGTTGTTTGTGTCAGTGTTGATTTTCGAGTTTATTGTAGTTTTCCTTAACTTTCTCCCTCTTCATTTTGTAACTAGCTTTGCAATTAGGTAATTTTAGGAGTTCAACAGATGCAAAAGCGTAAGTTTTTATGATTTTTACTACCTGTTACCCTGCACTTACAAGATGAGAACCACATGGATGTTTCTGAACAACTGCCTGCAATTAGCCGTGGTGAAAAGTTTGCTTAGAAGGTATTTCATGTTCTGCTTAAGAATATGGATGTTTTCACGAGGTGCCTAAGGAATGCTGAAGCCTTTTGCTCCTCAGAGTGTCCAGAATTGGCTAACCACGCAGCAAAGCCAGGACCAAGGCTCAGGTTTACCACTGAAGTGGCTAAAAGCAGAGTCCTATCTGCCTTTTTTGATTTACGGTTCTCTTCAACTTTCCAGTGTAAGGTGGAGGCCTTCTACAGTGAATTCCATCTGTCAGTGATCTTTTGAGCCAATACTGGTGGAAATAGTATCTCCTTAATATTCCACTTGAAACTAGAGAGACGAACTCTGGTAAAAGTCATCCTGAAGAAAGTCTCAGCATTGGCAGTCATTAATTTCAGAGAATATGACCTTCCAGTCTTTGCCAGGACCATGATCTGATGTTGTGGCCTTGTAGTCAAATGCTACTCTGTACAATCTTCTCTCAAACCCAGGGACTGTGTTCTCATTTGCTCTTTTTTTGTGTTATCGAGGTGGTGAAATTATTGTTCAGTGCCAGCAGAAGGCCAAATTAATGGAGATGTCCAAACATATTCAGCAATAAGTTGCTCAGTGAAGGTTGCTTATTTATTTGTTCATATATTTGGTTTACTCACTAAGCATAACTTCATCCCACAAGTAATAATATTTGCACAGTGTAATTTCAGGAAAGACTGTGATCCATAAAGAACTTCCCAAACAAGATAACTGTAAAGAAGATTTAATTGTAACAATTTATTGTCCTTCAAAACAATGAGGCTAGTTAATAAAAACGAAACAAGTACTAAGATCCTGGAAGCAGGCAAAGTGTGCAATGTCTTTAGTTTTAACCCATGCTCACCATCCATCAGCTGAAGTTCCTAACTAGCTGTCACATGAAATGTCACTCCAGAGTATGTACATTTGCTTTTTGCATGATGGCATTTGCACTGAAATTTTCTGTCCATTGAATGTCAATCTGTGGTCTAAACTGATAACTCCAACCCAGAGAAGCCTTTAAATATACTCTAACAATTAAGTTAAGCACAGTTTAAGTGCTCCCTTAGTTGGGACCCAGGAACTGATCACTGAATCTCCCATGCCTGGTGATTCGTTATATAGAAGCCCAAATTTTTAAGGCAGTAAACAGCTGATTGGTGCAAAGTGCAAAGTGTCCTTGTCTGAACTGCAGAGAAACCTCAGAAAGATGGACTGATACTTCCATAAATAGAGAGCAGAAAATGGATTATTTTTTTTCCAGTGGAAAGTGTATAATTTAATCAAGGTGGAAACATTGCATAGGAATGTGCTGTTTTCAACGTAATTATTTTTTTTAGAAAACAAAATCAACAATTCAATTATTTTCAGTGCTGAGTCTTAGAGTCTCAATGTTTAAATGGAAAGTATTTTTCATGAACACTCGTACAGGATCAGGCTGTAGCTGGCATTTGAAGGAGAATGAATGAATTAGTAGATGCTACCAAATATAATTTATAACGAATTCCCTTCCTGAGAAAGCAGCAGAATTTAAATGACTACTTGAGTGTGTTCATTGCC